ACCCGGAATGATTTTTTTGCTGAAAATGTTATGTAATCAACTTGGGCTATCCTGATTCTGTTTATTCTCTTTCTGTATACCTTCAAGTTGCTTGGACAAAAAGAATGCAGGAAACCACCCAACTTGGCAATCAGTGTTGTAACAGAAACACACATGTACTTAAACCACACATTACACAAACATTTTATTCTTAAAGTAGTACTAGAATTTACAGATGAATTATGTTCAGATGAATTATGTAAAAAAAACGGCTTTGAAGTCGCACCTTTTCTCAAACGCTAGGGGGCGCCAAAATGGCGACGATGACCTAGGAGAATGACCTCTCACAGCAGCAGACAGCAGTCTTGGCTGGAATCTGTAGGAGGTTTCACTGTCATCTGAACAATATTTTTGGATATTACAATGTACATTGTGGTAAATAAATCTAAGGCAACCAAAGTGACACTGGCATAATGTAAAAACGAATATTAGCCTTGTTAGCATGTTTTAGGATATCTTGATTTCAAGTAGCTAACTTGCCCAACACTATTTAGCTTGAATCTCACAAATAAGGTTAAAAGGTTAAAAGAGTTGCACATTATTACTGTATGTACAAAACTGATGACAATATGTTTATACCTTGTTCAGATGACAGTGAAACCTCCTACAGTTTCCAGCCAAGACTGCTGTCCGCTGCTGTTAGAGGTCATTCTCCTACGTCATCGCCGCCATTTTTGCGACCCCTAGCGTTTCTATGCTGAAGTGAAAAAGTGCGACTTCAAAGCAGTTTTTTAAACATAATTCATCTGAACATCTCAAAATGAACACCCGAAATATTATAAACACATATTGTAGTTATATATTCTGGATAGCAGTATGGTAAATTCTAGTACTACTTTAAATATGTGGGACATAAAGGACTTTATGTCTTCCATCTTGGCTTGCTTCCACTGCAGCGTGAAAAACGCACGAGAAGGCACTACAGGCCCGACCTTACACCAGCGATCCCGATTGGCCGATTATATTTTGCTCTCCTGAAGGAGTTTGCATTGGCGTCGATCCCAGACCCTTTTTTTTTAGACAAACGCCTCTGGTGGAGCATAGTGGAACTACAAGGGTCTGGTGAGAGTCAGGCTAGTTCATTTCCCCACCGTGAGATGAATAAAGGTTCTCTCAACTGTCTTAGCTTAAAAAAAACTACTGTTTCGTTTAGTTTGAGGCGCCACCTGCAGGTGAAAGGCAGAACCTGTGTGACCTCTGAAGCTAAGCAGAACAGGCCCAGGTTAGTACTGTGATGGGAGACCTCTGGGAACACATGGTGCCACAGTGGGGCGGCTGCGGCTGTAAAGTGCCAAACTGTGATTGTTTCATTACATCAGAATGTGTCTTGTGTGTGCGTGAATGGTTGATGATGGGAGGGGCCGGTGGCACAGACTCGTTGCATTGCTTCTGGCAGTGCAGCCGTGGCTTATCACAATGTTTGAAGTGAGTGAATAATGCTGCAAAGAGACTTTGAGTGACAGCGCATGAACAGATGCAGAGTTTGCTACAGCGTCCTTCACTGACCACTCGTCTGCATAGATCCTCTGCAGGCGCCTTCAGCCACAGGTCGAGGGGCCCCGTGCCCAAAGGTTACAGGCTTCTCTGCCACATTCATCACGAGCACATCAATTTGCCGCCGCATTGACAAGTAAATCTCTTTTTTTTCGTGGTGACATATTGGACATGCGCAACCTTTAATCTATGTAATGGTCTGCTAAAGGTTAGCAAGGGGTTAATAGAAAAGAGACGTTTGCCCCAGGCGCACAGTCCGGTTACAGAAAAATCATGATAATTTATAACTTTAAAAATGAGGGGTCCATCGCTGAGCGCTAATGGAAGAGGAAACTGCAAAAGATGTGAGAGCGTGGAAAGTGTAGGAGTAATTAGTGCGAACGTGGCCTCATCATTAGAGGTGTGCGCACGCGTTCGCCTGTGCGCCGCTGGGACCTGTGTACAGGCTGTGTTTGTGGGAGTAATTGTGTCCAGAGGGAGCACAATACTGTTCCATCTTCAGACAGCTCTCGGGACGCACATGTGAGGCAGCTGTTATTAACCCAGCGTACTGCACGGGCCCTCAGCACGAGAGGGCCCCGCGTGACTCCAGTCCAAATGGACATAGTGGGGTTTGCATGTCTCTGGGGCCTGCACAACACTACAATGCATTTGAGAGCCAATCAGAACACACAACCAGCCACTGCTTTGGAATGTCCATCTTTTTGTGTTCATAATGGTCTGTAAAGGGCATGTGAGCCCAGTGTGAATGTGCATGTGTGTGTGTGTGTGTGTCTGTGAGTGTGTACGACTGTGTATGTATGAACCAAAGTGATAAAGGTGGTGATGCCCTTTGTAGTTGAATACGGATTAAGGACCACACAATATAAATCTATGTTTGTATGGATATGTTTTGGACACAACAAGATGTAAGTTTAAATGAAAATATGAGATACTGTCCATTTAATAAATATCAATACCTCATAGTATCCTTGATCAATCCTTTTTTTTTTTAGAACAATAGCGAACTATCTGAATGACGTCACTAAGACACGCCCCCGCCGCCTGTCAACTCCCGCCCACATGTTTCGGACAAACACTGCCAAAATGAATCAAATACCTCTTGTCACATTAGACGAAAATGATAAACCAGGGGCAAAATTCCACCATCAAACCATCAGGGATCATAGTGTAGACCAATTAAAACGTTGGCTTGAATGTCGTGGTCTTCCAGTAACTGGTAGAAAGTTTGATTTGATAAAAAGGTAATGGTGAGGATTATGCTAACATTATCTAGTCATTTAAATTGCAATGTTAGCGCCTTCTTTGTTTATTTTGCTCTGATTAACTTCCATTTATCAAGTTGTTTTTTGTACTGTCCATTTCGTAATTAGTTTGATCATTTAGTTAACTACAGTCAGCCGATATTATAATAGATCCATGGGGTCACAACGGGCTACACCACTACTGTCTCTGAGAGAGAAACTATCGGAGCTAGCCACACTCAGTAAACGCAAACGACAATCAATCAACATATTTAAATGTTAATGCTAGAATATAATATTCATACAACAAACGTGCACAGAGGTTTTCAGAATTATCTGTTAAGGTTTTCATGACAAAAATTCTTTTTTAATGCGACTAAAGCGATCGCTTTTTTAAAGTAGGTGAACTAAAATCTTTGGGAACTATTTTCTTTGCACTCATTAAATAAACCTTTTGGCATGAATAGTGACAGAAGTTTATTTTGTGTGTTCAGTTGGTACAAAGCCGTATAATAAGCGGACCCCGACGCGCTTCGTCTGTGCTTATTTTCCGATAGTCACGAAGTTGAAAAAATCCCTCTCATCTTTCTTCAGGTGTGAGAATTGTATACATTCTGGATTAGGACAAACAATACTAATATGGATTGATGGGGCTAACTACATTCAGAAGAGCTCAGACGGACCTGATACAGCGGTCCAGGTCCAGTCCCAGCTAAACGTAGCTAGGACTGGATCTGGAGGCTCCACAGTTGGTCCAGCGAAGTGTTTTGAAAAAACATGTCCTTTTTAACATTTTCATGAGAGAAATTCTGCTGACCACAAGCACCCACCTCTTGCACTTGTCCTGGTCTGGTCCTGGTCTGGTCCTGGTCTGGTTCGATGGTGTGGTTTAACGAACGGGTTGAATGTTACTGCTTTCATATAGTCCTTTTCAGAGTATCTGAAATCGCTCCCACAAGCACCATAACTGCAGTGTTTTGTTGTCACCATGATTCAATGATTTAGCCCAAATAAATACACACGCTTATGTGGAGAACACAGTAGTACTCAACGGAGTCGGACAGAGTTTGTCCGAAACATGCGCGCATGCGCAGTCATTGGAACTATTTTTAGCACATTTCGGAAACCGGACAGTGCCCTATACATTTTTGTCCGAACAATCAATTTTTTCCGAACAATCCATTTTGTTCATGGTTACACATGATCTACTTACACATAGCAACTGAAGACATTTGTAAAACCAGTTTTACTTAAGAAGCAGAAACGCAACTTTATCAACTGCCTTCAAAAGATTCTGAAATGCAGACACCAGAGATCGAGCTGCGAGATCCACATGGCCTCGTTAGTTATCAGAGTGTGTGTGTGTGTGAGTGAGTGTGAGAGTGTGTTTATGTGTGTGAAATCCAGAGACCAGAGATCGAGCTCTGAGATCTGCTGTGGAAGTGGCTGACTGTGGCACAAGGACCGGAGCAAGAGCTTTAACTGTGAACTCAATGCTCTGTGATCACAAAGAGTGAGTAAGTAATCTTTATTTATATGGCGCATTTAAATAGACCAAGGTCTTACAAAGTATTTTTTGGAGTACCAATATTTTTTCCCATTCTCTCCAGACACAGTGATGACAGAAGCGAGACGCTGGACACACTGCGTCAAAGCCCATGGCAATCACAATCCATTACTCTCATTACATTCATTCCTATTATACATGCTTTTAGTGGTATTGGAAACTGGAGCACCCAGAGGAAACCTACAGTACGCAGACACCACATCATGTAAGCCCCACACAGAAAGGCCCCTTCTGGAAGTGGAATCGAGCCCAGGACCTTCTTACTGTGAAGCACAAGCACTAACCACAGCGCTCTCACTCCTTCTCGCCCTCGCTCTGTGAACATACAGAGCGTATATGAGGCGTGGATTGAAGTATGACATCACCATAGTGGTAGCCATAATTCAATGTGTAACACTAGCGGCCCCATCACAAGCAGACTGTGGGGGAGGGATTTGGGGTGGGGTTTCAAATGCAGTGCTATTTTATACATTACATTTGACTGTACACTTTATGATTTATTACATATTTTTCTCATAAACCTGTCATAGGCATACCCAAATTAGTTTTGGCGTATGTATATTTTTCATTAACTCAATTAATGTGGTAGCTATATCATAATTTGCAGACACTCGCTCCTCTCCCACACTGATGTTTATCTGCTCTCATCTCTTCAGACGCGGTTAGCATTGACCTGCGGCCGCATCCACACGCTGCTCTACACGCTTCATTCAAAGGCGTAAATGCGGAGGAGCGAAGCATCCTATTGAGCTTGCTCCAAGGACGCGCTCTCTGTGAGGAGAGGCTTGGGCAGTCGCTGCAGCAGGTGGAGATGTGCAACATGTCTCCACCTGCTGCAGTGACGGTAGCTTGATCCTGTCATGTCATGTCCTTTTCTTCCCTTTTATTATTTCATTCCTGGGTTGGAGGGATGGCAATCAGAGCTGACACCAAAATCACCTTATCTCCGGCCCCTCGCTGAACTTCCTGCAGGTGGTGGATCCACGGGAAGATGGCTGCTGCTTCAACAAAGATATGGCCATGGTGTTTCAGCGGGGGCTTCGGGCATTGTGCGGGTTAAGTGTCTTGCCCAGGGACACACCGACAGCAGACTTCAGTGGGAGCATGTGTCGTGGGGGGATCAAACTAATGGTTGTGGGTCACTCGCTTGATCCTTATCTCCAAAAATCCTTTACATTTAAAGACTAGGAACACATGAAAAACATGATACAATATGAATTAATAATTGCTTCTTAAATTAATAATAATAATTTATTTTTATATTAATCTGAGGACAAGCCATTTATTAATGTTTCAGGAAGAAAAAAATCTCATTCAAAGGGAGACATTTTTAGATAATTTTTCTTAAGATTTTTTTTTTTGTTTCAAATTGAAGCAATCTTTGACTTATTTTCATAACTTCTTGCAGAGTAGGATGTTTGTGTCTCAAGCATGTGGCGGAGTGGAGATTCTGAGCTGATATGAGTAGATAGTATTGACGGCGGTAGAGAGCAAGTGGTGAAAAGGTGGTACTGCACCCTAAAATCCCCAGAAAGGGGACGGCGCTCTTGAGCAAGTGGTGAAAGGTGTTACTGCACTTTGTTTTTCAAAGAGTTAGCTTCTGTTGGCCTGTGTGTGTGTGATAATGTTTCACAGTTGTCTAAAGTGATTTATGATCACGGTGTATTCTAAAACAAGCAGTTAGGTCAATAAACTAATTAATCTACAGGTCCTCCCTGTTAACGACACGTGTGTGTGTCTGATAGTGATGGCGGTTGGGAGGGCGTACTAGCAACAAATCAGAATGGGTGGGAGGTCTATTACAAGTTTTTCAATGGTTCAAACGCTTTTGCGACTGTCTAAGAGTGTTTTTCATTGCTGATGCAGGATGGGTTTGTTACACAGTTATTGAGAAACTAGAAGGACTGTGGTGATGAGCCAGGACACTTTTAATATTCTACAACATGTAGTGGTCTATAGTCTTTATGTGTTTTAACTGCTGATTCTCCGATCTGTGTTGGTGATTTTCAGTAGTTTTTGGTAAGTCCTCTGAGATGACTACAGTTGTGATTTAGGGCTATACAAGACTAAATTGTATTGTATTGTATAGGTGTTTTTTTATTTTTTCCAGATACCTTTCTCAAACTTTTTTTTTTTCATATGAGTTTTTTCATTGCTGATGCAGGATGGGTTTGTTACACAGTTATTGAGAAACAGAAGGACTGTGGTGATGAGCCAGGACACTTTTAATATTCTACAAAACATGTAGTGGTCTATAGTCTTTATGTGTTTTTAACTGCTGATTCTACGATCTGTGTTGGTGATTTTTCAGTAGTTTTTGGTAAGTCCTCTGAGATGACTACAGTTGTGATTTAGGGCTATACAAGACTAAATTGTATTGTATTGTATAGGTGTTTTTTTTATGTTTTTTCTGTAACAAGAGGTACTGCATCCAAACTCTGAAAGTGCGACACTTAGGTGTGTGTGTGTGTGTGTGTGTGTGTGTATGTGTGATAACCTTATCATGTGGACCAGAGTGTTGCACTAAAACAATAGTTGTTATTTTCCAACTGGTACACCAGTATGAACGATCCGTGTGAAACTCACCTGATGACAAAGGTTCCGTGGAGCAAAAACACATATATTTTTAGTCGCGTTTATCATCGTAATTAATGCGTTATAATCCTAACCCTCTTCATAAGGTAGTAGTCTCTATATCAATTTAATTGTCCAATACAATAAAAATAAGAACCCTATATACATATATGTACACAGTTTGAAACAGAGTAGGTAGATGTGAAACTAGGGTCCTTGGTACAGGTTTTCTTTTACGCGAGATCAAATGATTTAAAGGCGTACATCTCTCAGATATACAATTGTTACCATAAATAGTCATCTTAAAGACTGATTAAACAACCATATTACATACCTTAAACATTATGTACAACCATTTTACCTAAACACAAACCAGTAATTAAACATTATGTACAACATTTTACCAAAACACAAACCATTAATTAAAATCCAGATTTTCTTATTATGTAACACTCTCATATTTATTGAGTATAGTAGTTTTGTTGTTTCTTAAAAACCATGATTTTTATTTTGACTCTTTAATGTCTTTGTTAAGTTGATTCCTTCCAGAGACCATTCTTCCCATGACTTTAGTTCTGAATCTAGTTTTTATTAAAGATATCAGTTACAGATTGTATCGACTTTGTTCTTTTTTTCCAAAGTTCTCGTAGATGTTTTGCAATTTACCTTATACAATGTAGGATAAATAGTATAATCCACTATAACATATAATTTTAACACCAAGCACTCAAAAACAGGATTTGATGAATCTCGATATATTTTCCTTCTGGTCTTTTTTTAACTATAGGCTGTGTTAAACGTTGTCTCCAAATGTTGACAACATAGGTGAGGTCGGTATAATCATTGTATATCATCTAAGGGTCAGTAATGCTGAGCGGTGTTTTCGTAGATGTTCGTTTGCTATTGGTTGCATTTACCTAATACAATGTATGATAATATAGTTATAGCCACTTTACCATACAATTTTTAACACCAAGCACTCAAAAAACAGGATTTGTGAATCTGATATATTTTCATTTGTTTGCTCTTTTTATGTAAAATAACTATAGACAGTGTTAAAACGGTGTCTCCAAAATGTTCGACAACAGAGGTGAGGTCGGTATTATCATTGTTTTATCCTAAGGTCTGTAATGCTGAGTGGTTTTGGAAAGTGTAAAACACCAAGGGCTAATTTTCCTTATGTCAGTTTTACAATCAGATCCTCAACGATGAGTGTTGTTTTCTTTTTACCCTTTTCAATTTCCCCGTCTAGGTCTTTTCGATACACTCTACTTTAAAATTTTTCTTTAGCATTGAATCATCCATGTTAAATGTTTTTTTCTTTGTTTTGGCAATTAGTCCATTTGAACAACCAGATTTATTTATGACAAGTTCTTTGTTTAGTTCTTTTTTGATAACTTCTCCAACTTTTTTTCCACAACAAAATAATGCTGTGGCACCAGCATATTATGGATTAGGTGTAATATAGTGTCATGTTTACAAGTTTAAAGACATAATTCAATCAGTTATAAGTGTTAAAATGCAACACGTTCTTAAATTCTATGTAATTAAGTTACAGTTTAAAAACAAAGATTCCCTTTTACATGGGAAAGTGAAGACAGGGGTGAAATCCGAGGCACTCTGTTAAAAGTCCTTTATCAGGAGAAGGGCCTGCGTGTTTGGGCCCCGCAGCGCCTTCTTCTCCCAGTGTGAGAATAAGATTAATTTGTTTGTTTGTGCTAAAATATAAGGGAAACAAAGTAAGACATCTTCTCTTAGAAACAGTAGTTTTCCTGTCGAGCCAGAGTAAGCGCTCTGGTTTGGTTTGTTTTTTGTAAAAATCTTTGTTTCATGTGTTGACCCTTGGCAAACTTTTGGGCTTTGTAAGTATTATTTAATCTCATAACCATATTGTTAGGACCCCAAAAGTGTTTTATTCTACAGCAAAGTGTCTAAGTTTGGGCTATATCTGAGTAGCAATCGCTGTACGCAAAATTTTTTTTTTCGTGTGTTTAGCCGTCGATAGTTTTTCTTGTTGTTTCAGGTACGGTGATTTTGGTATTTTTGTATTTAAGGATGCCAATGAACATACGCGATGAGATTCTCTATGAAACAAGAAAAGTAAACCTTGTCTACAGAGTTGCGCTACAGCTTCAAATGGTCACGTATCGTTGAGGGCACCACAATAGTTGATACTTTTGGGAAAGTCACTCATACAAACACTTATTGGTATTGAGTAATTTATTAATTTTTTACTAATTTATTGCACTATATAAAACTGTTTAGATGTTCTAGATAAACTAGAGATCCATGTATGAGCAAGCCTTTTGCAGGTCTAGTAAGTACTTACACATATGTATCTTCATTTTTCTCGGTCCAGTTCCATTATTTCCACAGCAGTTGAGTGTTTTTTCCTAAACCCTATACCATTTTAAAATTACACACATTTACTTTTTGTAAAAAGCTATCCACTCAATTGACAAATACTTTGTTTCAAGATTTTAGAAAAACTGTGGTAACAAAAGACACGGGTCTAGAATTTGAGAAGTTGTGTTGTTTCTGTAAAGCAGGTATAATGTGGTTGTTTCATTTTTCAGGAAAAGGTTCCTGTTTTTTGTGACAAGTTGCAAAGGTAGGATAAACAGGTTTATTACAGATGCATCATGTCTGACCAGAGCGGTTGTTACAAATTGTATTCACAAATTTTACATACTTTTTTACACTATTGGACTAGTAAAAATAATGTTCACAGGGATCTACCGTTGTATTTCACACTGTAAGATGTAGGCTTTGAATATTGTCTTTTCGTTCTCGAGTCTCCTACACGAGTAAAGTATCTACAAAATTCTTTGTCGATATATTTCATTTTATTTGATATTTCGGCCTTGACCAAATTAATTTGTGTATCAGGTGGGATGTTTGTTGTTCCTCATTGAATTCTTATAAATTCTCCAAGTAAGCCTCGTTCTCATTTAGTGCATACTGTAAAACTGTTTCTTCTGGTTATCCAGATTTCTAAAACAAGTGTTACCGTTTTACTGTATGTAATTTAAGATAATCAGTTTCTAGTAACGACAGGCATCTGGTGTTAGACATCACCTTGATAAACGAATTTGTATTATTCAAAAAATGAAAATAGAAGATACAAAAGGTACAACCACATTCGAAAACAATATATATAAAAATAACTGATACAAATTTTATATATAGACTCCACGATATGAAGTGAACCAACTTTAACACAGTGACAAGATATGTTCACTATATTGAAATAAACATATCATGGTGAGAATAGGTATC